CTTGCTAAACAGTTCACATATCACTTCAGTATTTTCGTAAGTAATCCCGTCTAAGTATAATATTTTAGGATAAGCTGTTTTGGAGTTCGTCAACCTACTTTTGAAAAGTTTGGCTATTTCTCCTGAGTTATGCGGTGCCTGAGTGGCTCGCATTTCTTTGTTTCTGAGGCCTATATTTCTCAACTCTTCAATTCTATTGAGAAGGGACGTAATAGCAATTAGTGATGATAAGTCATGATATCTGTAGTATTTTATTGAGTGCTTTCGTAGACTTCTCCTAAACGATGTCGGAATATAATCGCTTTGGGGGAATCTGAAGCTAAGAATCTTCTCAGGTGCAATGACGTCATGAATTGAGTTAACATTCTGATAAAAGTTGTTAAGAATTGCCTCTAAGGACTCGTTCGAAAAGTACGAGTCCCAATTAGGACATCTAATTAGGTGATGATACAATTCCCAGTCAGCATGTGTGTACAATCTCATAGGTGTCTGGCCAGCTTCATCTCTGCGTTTTGTTTCAGGAAAGATGTCAAAAGAACACACCACTATTTTATGGTCACTACCTGGAAATTCATGTCCTACATGTACTGTAGATGGTTTTATGTTGTTCGTGGAAATAAGGTCTAGGATATTTGCGGATATGGTGGGTGAATTTATGTGTTGTGTCCACCCTCCTGTGACGATGGAATTCAGGAGATTATCATACCTTCGGAGTGAAGACCATGATACTTCTGGCATGTTGAAATCACCTCCGATAATTTTATAACTGTAGGGAAGATTGGCTGTGACATTAAAAATATCGCTGAGCATATTATCATATTCCCTGTTGGATGAAGGGGGTCGGTACACACAACCCACAAGTATAGGTTTACTTCTGACAACTTTTATTTCAACCCAGATCGAGTCATTGAGTTGTGACAGAATTGGGTTACTGAACTGGGTTGCAGATAAGGATTGTTCACAGTAAATTAGTGTTCCACCCCCACGACCTCTCTGTCTGTCCCCCCGAGAAAGGTTGTATTTATCAATCCTTAGGCTATCATTGGAGATATCACTTGTGCACCGGGCTTCAGTGATCATAATCAATGACGGTCTGCATATAGAAGCTAATGTACTTAGTGTTAAGTGTTTGCTTAGAACTGATCTCGTATTTACTAGGATAATAGATAAACACTGGTTATGTGGTTTCAGTGAGTGGACAACATCTTGATAAAACAATCCATGAGTATCCTCTATATGCATGTTACTAGACTCATTTGGTGTTGACACTGTGTCAGCTATCTCCCGAGAAATATGCCTTGCCCCAGCTGTAGACTATTCGCTATGCCTGCAAGGAATCGATCTGATATCATGCGTGCTATATGCATGATGCCAGGTGTTTCTGTTAACTGGCGCTGGTGAAAATCCTGCCCGAAAGTATAACCGATATGAGTATTCGGTAAATTTTGGCCAGTACAAGAATGAAGTGTTGGTATTTGTTCTGGGTAGTCATCAGACCATAGCAAGTTTTGTGCAGAAATTGGCACATGCTCCCTACTAGATACATGGGATGTATGAGTGGGTTCTGTTGGCTTGCTAAATGTAGTCCGTGGCCGATGTTTGGGGGATTTTCTATCACTTTCAGTTGATTGAACATTAGAAGGGTTTGGCAAAGGAGGTGGCGTAGTCATCTATCTCAAGAAATGCTTAACCGTGCGTAGTATCGAAGCACTCGCTCACGAAAGTGAGTCGTGCGAACTTCTACGCTGCAGACTTAAATGCATAGGCCAAGACATTGACCTCATTGCTACATACCGCAGTCCTGACTGCAGTGCAGATGACTTCCTGCTACAGAAGCTAGGCTCCTGGACCTCGAAATGTCGAAGTCTCGTAGTTGGCGACTTCAACGCCCCAAAAGTTGACTGGACGAGCCTAACAGCTCCATCTTCAGTCAACTCCTCTGATCATAAACTGCTGGAATCTAGTATATCGTTAGGTCTAGTCCAACATATCATTAAGCCCACGCGCTATGACTCACAGCACTCCTCCTCAACTCTGGACCTAGTGTTCTCCCACGGGGATGATGTGGATCTCATACAACACCTTCCTCCTTTAGGAAGAAGTGACCATGCTGTGCTCACTTTCAAGTTCACAGCGACGGCAGCAAGGGCCAAAACCCCAGCTCGACCAAACGTTTGGAAAGCTGATATAAATGCAATCGTCTCAGCAGCCAACTCATTAAACTGGTACATTAACCCTGAGTCTCAAGTAGAAGCCGCATGGAACCAATTTAAACAACTTTACGCCCAAGTAACTGAACCTTTCATCCTTTATTATTATTGTTATTATTATAGTATCCTTTAATTCCTAGAGGAACAGCCGTGCGTCTCCATTGAGTTCGGTTCGCTGCTAGAGTCTTCACCTGGCTCCATGCCTGCCCACACGTTTTCATCTCCTCTTCAAATGACCGCCTCCAAGTCACCCTTGCACTGACGACAAACTCGCCGCTTCCCTTTCGAGTTCCACTCGAGCAATGGCTTGTCTATTGATGTCACTTGATGGTTTCCTCAGAGTATGGCCAATCCATCTCCATTTCCTTCTGCATATTTGTTTCACAATCGGTTCCTGGTTGGTTCGCTCCCTTGGTCGGAAACATTGTCCCTCTTGGATAAACCGAGGGACTCGTAAGTTACTCAGACGAAAACACAAATGTTGGAACTTGTTTGCCACACTTGAGACTTCTGAGACCAGGCAATTATATAACACTGCTAGAAATAAAGCTATTGCAGAAATCCGCCAATCACGGATGAAGTTCGAAGCATACCTGGCTCAAAATGCAGAGGCACAACCTAAGAAAATTTTCCCGTACATGAACTTCAGGAATAAAACATCCAATGGTGTCATAAACCCGACTATTGACAATGATACAATTGAAGAAGATCAAGAAAAAGCAGAAGCAATGGTAAACTACTTCTCCCGAGTCTTCACTCAGGAGTCATCACTGCCTAAAGGATCAGTTCTGGTTGCATCAGAAGAACATGGGATGGATTCCGTTGACATCGACCAAGGCATCGTGCTCAACCGCCTGATGAAACTAGATGCAGGGAAATCAATGGGTCCTGATAATCTACATCCGAGGCTTCTCAAGGAGCTGTCAGCCCACACAGCCGGCCCTTTGACTACGATCTTCAAGCTTTCTCTCCCAAATGGAGTGTTACCACTTGACTGTAAAGACGCCATAGTAACCCCCATCCACAAAGGGGGATCAAGACAAAGTCCTTCAAATTACAGGCCAATCAGTCTCACCAGCACTTTGATCAAGACACTGGAAAGAATCATCAAGAAAAGCATCATGGCATATCTAGGAAATAGAAGCTTATTATCTAGAGCGCAGCATGGCTTCCGAAGGAACCTCTCATGCCTGTCAAATCTTCTCACTGCAAGAGAAAGCTGGGTGAAATCCAGGGACAACAGAAGACCCCTTGACGTCGTCTTCATAGACTTCAGCAAAGCCTTTGATAAAGTATCTCACAAAAGACTACTCATGAAGCTGGAAAGTCTTGGTATTGTAGCGGTAAATAATTCCCCAAAATTATTAACCACAGCAATCATCACTCAACATTGGATGCTGACCATCGCTGTTTAAGTCGACTTGTTTAGCTGAAGGCTTACGGTCAAGCATCCCCGCCATTTGGTGCTCCGTCGTGTCACGTGCGTGCACGATTACTAGCTAGCTAAGCATTCACCTCTACCCGCGATTTTGTCCCGAAATATAATACGTACTTTGGACGATAAAATCTGGACTTTTGCTTTGCCATTTGGTACTCGAAGAACGAACACTATAGTGGTTGTTGGTATAAGATCTTGCGTTAGTATAATCCGTACAACTCGCGAACGTCGATACCCGCAGCCTCTAAAGTATCAAAGGCAGCTTACTAAACTGTTTCAGCGAATTCCTCATAGATAGGAGGCAGAGGGTTAGGATCAACTCGAAACTCTCCTCTTGAACAGCAGTACGTAGCGGAGTGGCACAAGGCACGGTACTCGGACCTCTCCTATTTATTTTGTATATCAATGAGTTATCTCTGCTCACCGACTCCCCTATGGTCCTATATTCAGATGACTTAAAACTTTGGAGAGAGCTGAAGGGCAACAGTGGCACATCCACGTTGCAAGAGGACCTCAACAAATTGTCAGGGTGGTCCATAGAATGGATGCTCCTGATAAATGTGGCAAAATGTGCAACCATGCGCATTGGACAAGCAAGCACGAGCTCCTACGAACTAGAGGGAATAACACTTCCATCAGTTCAGACTCACTTGGACTTAGGTGTCATAGCAAGCCACGACTTAAAAACTACAGCACACTGCCGCGCAGTGGCTGCACGTAGTTTCAGGTCATTATGGGTCATTCGCAGAGCCTTCACTAGAATCACCAGAGATATGTTCACCTCCCTATTTACATCTTTGGTGAGGTCAAGTCTGGAAAACTGCATCCAGGTCGCCAGCCCTTGTCTAAAAGGGGACTCACACATTCTAGAAAGGGCTCAAAGGAAGGCAACACGTATGGTTCTCGGAATGACTAATTTATCATTCGAAGAAAGACTAGACAGTTTAAATCTCTTCTCCTTGTCATACCGTAGGCAGAGAGGAGATTTAATCACAATGTTTAAAATTTTAAATAATGACTACGGACCTGACCTATTCTCTCTTTTCCTTCCCACCAGGTCGGAACACCTTAGAGGACATAGCAGGAGAGTTCAAAAGCCAAGAAGAAATCATATTGCTGTTGAGTACTGGTTCTCGCATCGAGTCATAAACTCTTGGAACCGACTCCCAGAAGAAGCGGTGTCTGCAACCTCAACTCAATCGTTCAAGAAGGGTTTGGAAAACCATAGAAGTTTCCTAGAAAAGGATTAACATAGGCTCCAAGCCTCCTATCCTCAATCAATGAATCTGAATTGGACCTCGTCCTTTTGCTCATTCTCAGTACTGTACGTTACCTCAACGTCGTGTTATGTATGTATATTCAGCTAAAGTAGTCTTTAGATAAATGCAATTGACTTTATTGCTGTCAAGGTGTCAAGTGTAAAAACGTTTTGCTATCGATATTTCCCTAGGCAAGAGTAAACAATTTTGTCTTCGGAACAGAAGTCACATATACGTAATTACGTACTCCAAACACACGCGCGTGCTTTGAAAAGGACTGAAATCCACACGCTCTCGTTTGGTTTTGGCCTTCGTTGTGTTATACTCTGGTAAAGTCGAAAGATTAACTTTGAATCAGTTTTTTCTGATCGAAGTTAGTGTACGTTTCAGCAGGTGTGAGTTTATTTAACTTAGTAGTTATATAGATCCATTTTTGTGCACTCATTGATTGCATATGTATAAAGTCACACTTAAACCTTATGCCCCAATTCGCTGTACGAAGCATGTCGATCAAAAGGAACCGATTTGGAAGGGTTGTGTCAATATCCAGTTGTAGAGGGAATGCAGTGTGATAACTGCAAGAGAAGGTTTCATAGCGTGTGCACAAACTTAACTCCTGGAGCATACAAGCGCTGCTGCAAACCTCTGGAGAACTGGCTGTGCAGTGACTGCTGTAGTGCGACTAAGTTTCTTATAACGGAATCCATTGCGACTCACTAGGGCTCTTAAGTCCATTGACTGCTAGGGTCTTCCACCACAGGAGGAGAGCGAGGAATGCTCAGCCACCGAATACGTGACTAGCGGAAGCACCAAACTGAATTGACAATTTGCTGCGCAAACGCCCACAGCCTGTTGAACAAACGGTCTGAGCTGGGTAATATGATAGACTCCGAAAATCCGGATGTAATTATCATCACGGAGACGTGGGTCACACCCGATGTCACTGACAACGAAGTTAACCTGCCAAATTTCGAAATACATAGATATATACATAGTGGTGGTGTAGTCATCTACCTCAAGAAATGTGTGCATAGCATCAAACGTCTTGACGACCCTGAAGGCATGCTAGTCGTTGGCTAACGGCACCTGTCATTATCATAACTGAAATATCAACTCTGTTCACCAACTAAGAAGCTAATTTCATCCAGATCACGTTTTAAAGTACTGTTTGGACAATGCGTTATTAGCTCGTTAGGGTTAAGGTAAGTATTGGGGTTAGGGTGAGGAACAGGGTCATAATTAGGGTTACGTTTACGGTTGTAATTAGGGTTAGTGTTAAGTTTAGGTTTAGGGTCAGAATCAAGGTTAGAGTTACGATTAGGGATAGTTTTAAAGTTAATGTCATTTATTTCTTTTTTTTTATCACATTTTTGAAAGTGGCTGTGATCTTCTTACTGAGACCATAGTTTCAACGAGGTTTCAGGAAATGCACATAGGATAAAAATAAATGATTCACGAAAGCAGCTCACTGTAGGCTATGCTCATTACTTGGCATTATTCACCTGTTTGTAAGCACTTTTGTCCAATTCGGGTGTGCATTAGGGTACTTTTGAATCCACCGAAATCCTATCCGTGCAAGTCTTTCTCCTCTCAAGTTAAGTAATGAGTATGAGAAACTACTGTTGCGTAAAGCTTTTCAATAGATAACAGAAATTCCAGAATACGGTAGATGTTCTGGCTTAGACTTGTGATTGTTTAGCTGTTTATTTTTATCTGAATGTTATCTGGTGCATGGCCATGTATAGTACTGGTTTCTCAATAAGATAATTTGGCGTCGTAATTCCTCCCATTATTTTCACTGGAGGAAACGCTGTCAGCCTGCATATTAGATTGTTCGTGAGTAGTTCACTTATACGTCACCTCTCGCAGATATATTGTATCTTAGAAAAACATGTCCTCGATTCTCTGGCTTTGTGTATCGCCTGCATCCATTGTTGGTATGGAAGTTGAGGTGTGCAGAATTTGAAACCACAAAAGCTAAGTCTGAGATTCTTGCCGAATTAGGGAATATTTCCACTTCTTTCTTCATGAAAGACAGCGATTTTTAGGTCTTGTTCGTTGATTTGGATTACTTGTTGAGATACTTGACGACTTAATTATGAAATAGTCATAGAGCACTAACTTCATTAAGAAGCTTGCTGACGTCTCATCCAGCAAGTCTCAAAGCGCAGAGAACATCAACCGATTTCAATCTTCGTCCTAAGCTACAAATCTTTAGCAATTAGGTGTCATATGGACTGCGTAAAATAGGTCCATTTGCAGGACAGTAATGTGTTTGGTAAAAACATACTGCGGTGAATGTTATCCTGTGAATTTGTTATATGGTGTCATTGCTCCTTGCTGCACATAATTGGTCACAAATCCCTTTTTCTCTGGATATTTCACCGATTATTTCATTACATTTTCCACTGCCAGTGAAGGTAATCTAGATTCGTCTCAAATATTTTTAGAAGTCTTGATATACTAGTGCGAACTGCTTTTTCCTAGTGTTTACTTCCCAAATGTTGTTGAGCTTGTATCTGACTGAAATATCGTGACGACATCCGAAAGGCTATATGTATCCTCGGTTTAATGTGGTAGGTGTAAAGTACAGTTGGTCTTCAGTCACTTTATTTCCATAAAGCGTTCTAAAAAGAAGAGCGTTAATGCAACACTTTCTCATATAGTGTTTCCTATTTCCTTATTCCATTTGTGTTTCACTGAATACAAAAGTGTGAGCTACAAATACGCTGAGCTTTTTATCTTTTCCTGTTCTACATTTTAGGTCTACTACTTTCATTTACAATCTAGCATTTCTTCCCGAATGTCTAACGTCGCTGTGAGAGTTATTTCTATAGTTATAGGTGTATTCTTGATATCCTTTGGGACATTGAAACTAGGCCCATTATTTATTGATGAGTTATATCGTAGTGTGGTAAGTTGTATTAATAGAAATTACACCTAGTGTTTTGTTTTACAGAGAGAGAGTTCCATTAGAATGCTTGAAACATTTCCACTTAGTTCATTGACTGGATGGAATGTTAGTCCTGATGTAATCAGGCGAGTTTATGGAGCAATGGAAGTTGTGGGTGGTGTTGTGCTTGCATCTTGTCCAGGTATCGCACAAGATGTCAGCAATGTTGTACTGCTTGTCTTGATGTTACTCCACTTGTTTGGCATTTGGCGTGCAGGAGATGGGTTAAGAGAAGCATCCAATGCTATTGTATTATGCTTGATGTTGACCTGCAGATTCATCATAAGAGTTCAAGTGAGTTTGTTTTTTCTGTAAAAATTATGCTTTCACAGTAATACTTTTCAAATTTGTATGTAAGTTGCGTATTTATTTAGTGCTTTCGAATTTGGAGGTGTGGTTTACTGGATAATGCATTTGTGCGTCGGTGGCACAGCGGTTATGACTCTCGCCGATCATGCACATGGTTCGGGGTTCGATCCCCTGCGACGCACACCTGATATCTATGGTCGGCCTGCAAAATTTAGGCTACCGATATCACATGCTGAAAATTCCATACCTGTACCAAAAAATACGGTGCGGAATCAAACTGTAATAAAAAATCAAAAAGAATTCTTGTTCACTCTGACCGAAACACCCTTGGTAGTGTCATAACGCGAATCAGCATACTACATATAACTTTCACATCAAACGATGAATACATATTGATCCCAAAATATTGTTCTGAGATTTATAGTTTACGACCCTTACTAGTGATTGCACTATTAATATGATTACTAATTTACCATAGTTCATTTAACTCTGTGCAGGTTTGAGTTGGCTTGGAGGCACTACCTCCTTCATTCAAGGTTAGAGAAATAGTTTGGTCATGGATGCTGAAAAGCTCAAAAACCCGAAAGGATTGAAGTTCTCCCTTATGATATTCAAAATATTCTGCATTATGTTGTGTCTTTGTCTAACAGGGCGACTTGTGCACTCTAAGTTAACCAGCCTTTATTCAGGGAGAAGTGAATTACAGAGGCATTGGAAGTTGTCAGGATCACTTCTATCAGTATATCCATGGCAGTTAACAATATTTCTGACAGACACTAATCGTTTTCACTTTAGTTGGCAGTTGTTCGTAAACTCTTGGATGTTGAAACTCAGTTACCCAAAATAGATTTTTCATGTACCAGGCTTTGAGGCACTAGTTATTAAGGCTTGATGATAATACTCAGGCTGAAGATACACATCTTTGTGATTAGTATAACATAGCATATAGTCTCAACACTTACTTCACAGCCTGGCGATGACTTCTAGCGATCGATTGTGTCGAGTGCCTGTTCCTTGTAAAGAGTGTGTGGCAAATGTTAAACTCTGCTAGATGTGTTTGTTTTTCACGGCATGTAAAAGAGTAGAGATTTAATTAGTGTGCGTTTATCGGGAACAGGAACTTTTTGTCTCTTTCAGGTTTGTTGATTATGAGTTCCACTTGGTTTCGAAGTGATACTAACTGAAACATTGCATGAACACTTATTTTTGACCGCATACATTTAGAGTTACTTCTCATTCCAGAATGGTTGGATATATCGCCGAGTCTTAAGATTGGCCGTATGCAACCATTTTCAAACAGACTTTCTATGTACTTAACAGTCACGTGAAAATAATACTATGTACGTTCAGGTGCTTTAGATAGACAGATTCTTCATTTTGTGTTACGGAGTAAGACCAACCGCTTTCCCGCAGGTTTCTTTCGATTGCTGTTAATTATTTGTCTTATTGATCTGTAAGTCAACAAGGTGTCTATGAAGGGGTACAAAAATGACACTTGTTTTGTACCAATTATGGATATGGGGAAGTATATTTGTCCGAGTAGCTATCAGCGATGCGTTGATGGTTCAAAGGTAGAATTCTTATCAAGCACGTATGTAGTTCGGGTTCGATCCCCGACCGATGAACTCTTGAACCTTGTCCAGTTTATCAGTCGGTAGCAATTTTGGGAAAGTGGGAAGATTTGGCCTGAGTCTAGAAACATAGACCCGTGAAAGCAGCAGCATTGCTACTGAGACTTTTAAAGCTGTAAGCCCTTATGTTTCACTCAAGACGCAAGGGAAATGGTTAGCAGTTTCTAACCACGAGTCAGTCAGTCGTGTCAATTGGAGTTATGCGGTCAGTAATAAATAATAAGAGGAATCAGTCGGTGGGGTTTTGAAACTTCATATACTTAGACGATTAGAACATGTGTTATGCATTTTGAGCCACAACCTTCTTCAATAAGCAGTATTAGCTGATATAGGACTAGATTGGGAAATGAGTTAAGAATAATCAGGACAAAACATGACGCATAATGAGAAAGTCTCTGACTTACTGTTTTGAGGTCTGTGGAGATATGCAGACTGCCACACTGTGGTCCTGGATATGCTGACAACTAATGGTTCGAGACTGTTGATAACATGGATAAAAGTCGTTTGCAATGACTCTACTCATGGTCACTTATCGTTATCATTCAGATTTTGAAAATCCTCACTAATTTACATGTAATTATATTTTCTTCTGTAAAACACCGCTCATTGGAGTTTCATGACATTGTCTTACTTCTGAATGTACTCTTCTGAAGTGAGGGACTTTGACTGATGCATTTTGTCCGAAGTTTTACGTTAATAAGTCAGTCTTCTGAGGTCGTGTTTGTACCACACTCGTCTTCTCATCATCACCTATGTCAAATATTGGTCAGACTAAGGCGAAGTACTAAGGAGAAAGTTGAGACAGCAGATATCTGTGGTCAGAGTTACTGAGTGATATGACAAAATCAGTGATAGCTTATCTTGATTAAATTCATAATCACCATAGGAACATAAAACAAAGGTTTAAGCAAAGGAAATTCTCTTTGCCATAATTTTGTCTTCGTAGCTGTACAGTAGTGTTTATAAATGGATTACAATAAAAAATAACAAGTATGTTTGTTATAGGTATCTCTTAATATTTGACATTGAGTGTAAATCTTGAAGTACAGTAATATTGGTTTATCTTGGTTGGTTAGTTTAATTCTATCATTAAAGGCATTTCTTTATCTCTTCTCCTTTGTCTTACTGCTGCTATTGATGATATGTGCACATCTCTTCTTGACAATAAGGTAAGGCTGTTGAAAGTGGAGTACATGAAGAGGTTAACTACCTTTGGCTGTAGTTGTTTGCATTCTGTATCCCGTGTTAAGTAGTATACTACAGTGAGTAGCACTAAGGTCAGGCGTATAGTATAGTGTGCTAGATAAGGAGGGTCGGTCAATCGATGAGGTAGTGAAGCTATATTGATTGAGATGGAGTGCCAAGCCGCTGCCTTTCTCGTCAAGAAACCTTAGCCAAAACAGAATTAGATTGGAAAAAGAACTAGGGGTGGGGTGAAATCGAAACCTAGCATCAATCTATAAAGCCTGGCTTTTAGTTTTAGCTACGTGTTTAGGTGTAGGCTGCCTGGCTGGGGTGGGGTGGGGTGGGGTCCTTGAGACTGTTAATGCTGTAGCCAAAAATCGTCCTCAGTGACTTCAGATGTATTCAGTGTTTATAATCTCCTAGATTATTCTGCTCATGATAATTTTTTGAATTTTTCGCCATTTTGGGTGCTATACGGGATGTGACAACTTGAACTGCTGTACTTCTGTGCTAGGTTCTGCTTTGAAAACTTAGTCAGTCATTTTTTTCTCTTCCCTTTCTCTTCTTCGTCATATCATCCTTATCACTTGGTGTAGGAGTTATGCTACATAGCACAAATATTGTGCATATTTTTTAAAATGGTTCTTTGGATTGCTTTTTTCTGTGTACAGAACAAGGTTGTGTTTTCTCAGTGATGATATATTCAACTTTCCGTTGTTTGCTAATCTGTCTGATTTGTTGAAGCGTGTGAAGAGTAGCGTAGGTAGTATGTAACATGTGAAAGTGAAGGTGTCGCTCATTGGCTTGAACAATTGGCCTTCAGTCAGCTTGTCCTAGTTTCGAATCCCACTCGACCTGCTTTACTTTGGACAACTGGGTAGTATCATCAGCCTTTAGACAATTAGTGTTGCTCATGGCCTACTATACATGGGAAATTTGTTCTGGTTAACTGATTTCAAATAAACAAACTGAGTGTAACATGTGAATGCTGATACCAGGTGTAATGCTAACTGCCTATTATTTGTACAGTGATGAAGTATTAAATTAGTTTTGGTCAATAGTCATCATCAGTGTTACTGAACAATACAGTTGACAATGAGCCACAGCTTATTGCCTGAGGACTGGTTATACTACCCGGATCTGTCCAGACATCGCTACGTACAGCGGGAATCGAACTCGTGACCGACCCACTGGTTGGATAGAAGTGAAACACCTAGATGGGGACCAATGAGCCACAGATTATTTTTCTTCTTTTCAATGAGTTTTTGTGTGCCAACGGAAGAAACATATATATTCAGTGTGAAATGCATCTTCATGGTTGTCACTTAACCTCATTCACTTTTATATTTTTGTTTACTATTTTGAAGCTTATGCAAAAGAATGAGGAAGCCACTGAAATGCTTGAATATGTTAAAAAGGATATACGAAAACAAATTATTATGCTACAAAGGGAATTCAAGAAACTGGATGCTGCCTTCAATCAATTAGAACAAAACACTCATAAGGCTGAACGAAATAATGACAATAATTCTTCCGACCCAACCAAATCATGATTATATATACATTTATATATGTTGATGCATTTACTTGACAGTTGTGTCGGTGAGAAAATATTTATACTTTTATTAAATATTTCAATTGTAACAACTTTATATAAGGTTGAATTATGTAAGTATTTTTTGCTATTGATGCATTGAACAGTGATGTACACCAGGTGTTAAGCAAAATAAATTGAGCATAAATATGCACAACTCTTTACACTATTGGTTGATTGAAATGAGTAATTGACTACCACTCATATCAACCGGTGGTCGTAATGGTGTTGGTGGTGCTTCCTAGTCAGATGGAAGTGATCTGAACAGTAGAGTTAATGATAATAATGATAATCTGCTTTATTCCAAAAACAGTACTTATAGTACAGAATGGAATTCTCGGCATTTGTCACAATATCGCATTCGAATACAATACAATAATATACCGTTAACTGGATTTGTTCGACTGTAACACTTGTCAAAAGACAGCCTAATAACACATATTAGCGGATCAAGTTTGTTTGATTTCCGATTATGCGCGAGTCTTCGAGATTTAATATGGTTCGGACAGATCAATTCTCGAAACAGGGATGTAAGGCGTTAATTTTCGAATAACTAAGAGAACTCGGTGAATCATGTTGTACTTGACTAACAACAGTTACAATGATTTCCTGATTAGGCATGTCGATTCTGGTAAACGTTTTGCAGTGAAGCTCGACAGCACTAGAATCCTATACAGTATCAAGAGACGAATGATCTGTTGTGATAACTAGTGGTCGAATTCCTAAAATCATTGCACATAGCATTCTAAGTGTTATGTGAATAGAACTTGGGCACTGTGGTGGAGTATAGTAATAACAATTATGATAATACTAATCTGCTTTATTTCAAAAGGTTACTTATAATACAGAATGGAATTGTCAGCATTTGTCACAATATTGCATCTAGTTAAGTCAAAATGTGAATAAAATTAACCACAGGAATTGGTCCACATACACGGCATAAAGTCAAGAAATATTCGAGGTACAAAATGAGAATAATGAATATAGTAATAACAGTGGGTGTGTTTCAAACAGTATTGTCGATAGAGTTTGGAAATTTTGGTATTTTACAGATTATTGAATCTAATGTTCTGTTGATTATAGCAGCATGGTGAGGGGTAAGACAAAATTAACAGCTATTGCACAGCTTAAGCTATGTTTACACTTATGAGGAAATAGAAACAAAACAATTGAGAGAATTATAAGTATAAGAAGAACAATAACAATAAAGCTTGGTGGAATAAGGATGGAGAAAATGGTTTATTTACTGGTGCAAAGAAGGTTAGTTAGTTCGTTCCTGACAAATATTTCCATCACATAAAATTTGCACCAAATATGGTATGATGGAATTCTTACACTTAGACGTACATGCATGAAATCTTTTGAAATGACTTCTTGTTTTACCTGAGAAGACACAAGATTGGAGCTGTGGGTAAAGTGGATGCTCACAGTCTGAGAAAATTCCTTTAGCAAATTTGTTGCATGAAATCAAGTGCCTATCAATGACGATGTCAACGATATGACCCAATGGGACACCACTTGCCCTACTGACAGTCTTTAGAGTTCTACAAAGTATGATGTAGTCTTTTTTAATCAATCCAGGAAAGAATAAGGGTGAACAATGAAGAAGAATAGGTACGATGCACGAGTTGACAGACTGTAAGAGGAGTGGTTGAGTTATGCCTGAGTGCCTTAACTTCTTAATGTAAAAAGTCAGACGAAGTATTCTTCTAGAAATCGCTAAGACATAGGTGAGAAGAAAGAATTAATCCAAAACACTTAACGTCAAACTTGATTCCTATATCACTGTCATCAATTTTGCAATGGTCAGCTCGTGTGAAGTTGATCTCACCAGCTGTGTTACCCGATTCGACTCAGCTCAGAGAGAGAGAGAGAGAGCCGAATGTGAATCCGTTGAAACTAAGCGAATTCTGGCTGGCTACTTGGTCGAACTGGTAATACATTAAATGAAATTCACTATTTCGCTAGTTAATTCTCGAATTTTCAATGTACATGGTTCGGGGTGAAATTTCAGTCAGCCAGGTCTAAGGGTTTGGAACATTGGAGGGTCGATTCGCTGGTTTAGGGTTGAAATCATCAGTTATCTACCTGGTTCAACTGAGTTTCCTGAATCGAATCAGTCCAGAGCAGGCGAATTTCGGTTAGCTACTTGAGCAAAATTTTTAGTAAGTTGAGTTAAATTGGTGTTTTCACAATGTCCATCGGAAACTAGGTAAAATAACTATTTTACAATTATATCCTAATCCTGCGTAATTTTTGTTTCTAAGGCTCTTGTGACCTATATTCACACCTCCTAACTTCCATTTCAAGTTGAAAATTATTATTTCAATTTGTTTCCATGCTCATTTTTCACACACACCTGTAATTCGTCCTAATCCTGTGTAATTTTGTTTCCAAGCCTCTTGTAAACCATATCTAGTCGAAAATATTCGCCTTCGTAATTATGTGGAACCAAATAAAAATTGTATGTATGTAAATTTATGTATTTAAATGCGATTGTATAGCTTTTGAAAATGAAATCGCCGAAAGGGTATCTTTGCTGAACTTCGTGTTCTCTTCTCTCTAAATGATAATTTGTCACTGTTGTTCAGCTTCCTTGATGAGTAGTAGTATAAACCTAGGCGAATTAAAGGAAGAAAAGTCATCTGTAAGCGGAACCCTCTTACGATTATTGTCCTTAATCATTTTAGTCTGTCTGTTTTCGACATAGAAGTCACAAGGAGTGGATGCATCTGCACCAGCCATTGAGAACGATTTTGAGCCATTGCATCAATTGTTTCCAAGCATTGGTTTTTACCGTTCCGAGGACCCCAACCAGTCAGGAAGTCTACACCTTCCTACGTGGCTGGCTTGAACTAACTGTTGTAGATTTCATTGACTGGTGCCATGTTTTGGTTTGACCGCCGCTAGCTCTTTTCCAGCCTGACCCTATATCAGCTAACATTGCCCATTGTCGAGGAAGGCGATGACTGGGCATAGGTAACACATGTGCTAACCATCTCAGTCGATGTAATTTCATAGCCTCGTCGATTGATTTCCCCTCCTTAATCAGTTTAGACTGTCATATTGCAAGTGGCGATTCAAGAGACCGAACACCACTTAATTTGTTGATGTTTTGTTATCTGGAATATAATCCCCAGACTGAAGAGAAAGCGTGTTGCCTGTGATTTTAAAATCATAACCAAAGTTAGTTAGTTAGTTGAGTGGCAGAGTTTGATCCTGTCGAAAGTATTCTCTGGCTACGGTCGTTGCGCCTTACTCCACAGAAACAGATGAACTGATGAACGCATATTTGGCTGGCAAAGAGAGCGCTTATCTTCTATACGAACTGAGAATAGTTTCCGGCTGGGCATATCATAAGCCTGGTCAGAGATGCATGAAAACGTCTTTCTTTGATAATGAGTCATTGACTAATTTAGAGTGTTTATTTTCGTGTTTTTACTGCTAAGACGATTAGGAAAATGATTCTCAGAAAGTGTGGATGTTAGAAAAGAAAGTTCTGAATGAATGTACAAAGTCTGAAATACAAGTCTTTTATATTCTCTGGCAGAGGAAAGGAATACGATTTCTTATCCTGTAGATAGACACCTAACTATAGAGATTGCTTAACCGGCTATTCCACTTTAGTAAATGACTTTTTTAAGACACTGAGTCAATATTTCTTGTGATGAACACTTGAAGAATAGGAATGCTAGATTCAGATTCCTTTTTCACAGTAAATATTAAAGATGGATGGCAGTTGTTTGAGTGAAAGCGAAATACCTGCAAGAAAAACGTGTTGTCTACACATCTTCCTCAGTAGATATCAAGGCATCCAATAGCTCGACTAAGCTGAGTGTTTCCAAGCTTTGACATGAAGCAGTCAGCCAGTAGTGGGACCATGTGATGATCCCATTGCAGTATCATCTTTTTATCTACATACCACGTGCTTCCTAAATTGAACGTTAATTGTTCACCTCAGTAGTTCTTCAGGCAGGTTATTGACAGTCCAACGTCTAAGCTACGTGCATTGATGTAGTTGAATGTGGATTACCATACTTTCCACAATCCATAGAAAGAAGTCTGTCTTGTTCGCCTTCGGAGGGATAGTCACTGAAAGTAGTTTTGTGGGTCGTTTTCTGGTGACCAGAATCAGACTTCTTTCTCCTTTGTACAATCAGAATGGTATATATTTAACGTTTCTCGGCTCACAGTCATTGTGACTGATACCTATCTGTGATAAGGAAGTTGAAATCATTACTTATGCGGAGAGAGTGAGTTTATATTGAGCTGCATAAGAGACTTCTTTTAACAAATGTGGCTTTTAAGGAACGGAAGTGTTCCGTATTTATATGGTCCTGTTTTAGTAGCTTTTATAATAAGACGTTCAGGATAGCTGTTTTCATTTGTTCATCATTGCTCTTTTTGATGGTGGTGGCGGAGGCTAGCAGTTGAATCCAAGCGGCGTGTTCCTTCCTGTTTAGGACTTGTCAGGTAGATGTACATGTTCCGAAGTTCCTACTGGTCCTCTCAACCACTATCTATTGCTTCAAATGCCCAACCTGAATCTCACTGTTGTTAGCCACTAACAAACACATCTGTCTGGTGGTGGTGGTGGTGGTGGGGGGTTGTTCAACCGTAGAAGTTCGTAATTTATCCATCCCACATGAACTTTCTTTGCATAGGTCTTCCCATTATCAGATCAAAATTATATCAGAAAGTATATTATGGTACAGGCTACAAGAAGCAGACGCATGGGTGAAGATTGCCTAAAAAACGTACTTGTCAATGATTAATAAGAATGTAAGATTCTATAAAAAACAAATGAGTGATAGAATGATAGAGAATAAAATAAAAAAAGGCGGACTTCAGTGAAAAATGCCGTTAACAAGTTTGTGATAATTCGTTTGGCGAAATGACACTCCGAGTGTGAAATTACCGAGGTGCGTGAAATCAGCTAGCATTCCTAGGCCGTGAGGAAGAAGAATGCAAATGCCTATGGAGTAGTTGAGAAGAGCATGGAGATAAGAAG